TCCCCTCCCATTGGTTATTATAGGGGCCAATAGGAGTCCAGGGGAGGAACACTTCCTGTGAGATCGAGGGGGGCCTCCAATGTGGTCTAGTGTGTGTGTGTGTGTGCATGCATGCGTGTGTGTATGTGTGTGTGTGTGCAGTGAGAAGTGTAAACATACAGTTAGGCAAGCATAAATTGGTGTATATTGTTGGCACAAATGTGCCTTGTATGTGTCTAAACAGGTACACACTAAGTTTGTGTTTTGTGTGTCTGTGTGTGTGTGTGTGTGTGTGTGTGTGTGTGTGTGTGTGTGTGCATGCATGCGTGCATGTATGTGTACATTATGTGATGTGGCCTTGTGCCCACAGCTGTGGATGAGTGAATTTCAGGAATTGGGGTTTTACAAGGCTTCTGGATCTCCACCGAGAATTTACTATATAAATACCATACATCCACAAAAACCAGTAGGAAAAAAGATACCCTCTGTGTAGAGAAGTGCATTTTACTTATTCAGCTCAGTACTAGCGATGGAAATGTCAGCCTGTTAGTCCGTCCACCACTTTGGTGCAGACTATCTCAACAGTTTTTAGATGGAATTTTATACAGATATTCATGATCCCCTGATTTTTCTCTCTTAGTTTTACCATGAGCTTGACATTTTTGGCTTTCAGTGAAATATCTCCACAAATATTGCCATGAAATGTTGTACAGACATTCATTTTACATTTTCCTTAAATTTTCATCTCATGCCATCATCGCTGCCATGGCTGTAGACTCTCAGTCAGTTTAAACTGCATGGCCAATGTGTACATGTTAAATACTGTACACGTATTAAACTGACATAGACTAGTGAAAAGTGTGTGATACTTGTAATATAACAACACATTAATGGCTTAAACCATAATGTAGTTCCTGTTAACTCTGAAGAGTGATATGCATTTTTTTGATCATGTGTTTTTCAGTAGGGAATCTGACACGATAAATGTTTTTCAAGCTGGTGCGTGATGTTTGAATGATGAATATCATTGTCTCGATAGCAGGTCACATAATGTTCATTATTCCTACCGAACCCATGATGCACAACTGTACACATAAATTCTTTGCATGTGCTGTGTAGCTAAAATAATACCGGCTGTTTCCTCTTTTATTCTACATGGCAATTTTTGACCCAGTGCGGGTATTATTTCACTTTCCAGGAACACCTTAGCATACATTATTACATTTGAGTGTGGAGACATACCAATAACAGCTGGATAATTTTTTTAAGAGATAAGGAATGAAAATACATTTGTATGGTATTTGTATACACTGCTGCTAAATATCAGTCCACAGAAAGAAACTTGCAAAATGTTGGAGACCAATATCCTGTATTTTTTAAAATAACAGACACAATACGCTGCAGCTATTTGATTAATCCTCACTAGTGAAGGTAGTTTGTGAATGATTAGAAAAAAAGCATCTTTTTATTGATGCCTAAGAAAATGAGGAGGAACCATTTTCTCATTCCGCAAACGTAAATGCAGATGTGCTGTTGAGCCAAGTCGTCAGTCGTGGACGTTCATGATGGAGCTGCCCTGTGGCCGCCTGGTTGTAATTCACGGCTTCTGAGGGTAAATGTGTGTAACCCTGCTGACCTCCTGCGACCACTTCTCCAGGCTGCAGCTGTAAATAAGGATCTATGGTTCCTCTACCTGCCCGGTGAAACAAACGGTAAAAGAATAGTTCATCAGCATATGTGGATACATCAAAATAAGCTCAGATTAAGTGCAGTAAAAGCACAGTTGGTACATTTAGAGAGACATTACACTAAGTGAACACACATGGGCCGTAAAATTGTATGTAGGCCATTCCAATGTTTTGGTTGTGGTGTGTGTGTAGGTGTGTGTGTGTGTGTATGTGTGTGTGTGTGTGTGTGTATGTTTTGGCGGGATGCCCAAGGCTGATGTTGATAAAGTGTGACCACATGAGTCCCCAAAGGATAAAAGATGGAAACGGGCCAGTATATATACATACTTTTTCTCTCACTCTCTCCCTGTGTCTCTATATCTGATACTGCCTTTTTTTCTTCACCTCCCTCTCTGTCTTTCCTCCTCTATTCACCCTCTTTCTCTTTTTTTCCCTACCCAGCTCTCTCTCTTTCTCTCACACACTCGGAAAAACAAGAGCCCGCGGTACATGTGTTCATAGTGTTTTGACGCTCTTGCAGTTCTGGGAATTGCTTCATACTTTCTTGGAGATTAACCCAGTCTGGATCAAACTGTACTCTTACATTCGCAGTATGGGGGATGAAATCAAGTTTTCCAGCACAAAATGATATCACATGTGTACTAGCTTGATGGCATCAAAACAGGTAACTTGTCGGTCACAGAAAGACGATTACTTAAATTTCAAATTACACCCTGTGATTGGTAAACTGCAAGGTGCAGGTTATTCAAAAATACCGAGAAAAAAAAAAACATACTTTTCCTCTTATGCAAAGGATCAGTTTGCTTTGGTTTTGGTTTGTGGCACCCAAAGAGTCCAAAAGCTACATTTGAGAATGTCAGCGTCGACATCTTATTCCAGAAACTATGGCCCAGTTGTGATAAGCCACAGACCTCTTATGAACACTGTCAGTGAAAGCTATTTGTTACTAAACTGCACCTGCCAACTCGCTGTCTCCACGCAGAACGAGGTGTGCCAGTACTCGCGGGTGAGAGGGAAGTGGATGTAAACACACTGACCGAGCTGCACAGGGTGTTTTGCGGTGCCATTGGTTATTGCCGCTGGTGAACTTCATAGGAATTGGAAAGAGTTAGCATTGCCAGACTGCAAGGAAGAAACCAAGGAACATGATCTCAGCCAGCAAGAACGCTGTGTTGACATCCACCACAGTGTCACAATGTGCATGTGTGCCCTGTCCACGAGTACTGAAGTGCAGAGATAGCAACTGAAAACGTAGCTGCAAAGGGTTCAACATGCTTCAAATGTATGTTGTATGAAGCGCCTTGGCTTGACTTGCTGAAACGACTGATGCTGTTGTTCTTCTTTGAACAGTCTCTGTCAGAGAGATGCAGAGGGAGGAGTTGCTTAAGATGCAATTCAGTTCTTCAACTATATCTTACATTATTCTGATGGCTTAGGTTTTATTTGTAGATACTGTAAATGACACAAATGCGGTGAAAAGTGGTGCAGTCTGTATCTCCTGTGCAGTATATATATGTGGTACCACCACTGGAGGGCACCAAAGGCATCAGGGTGCAAAAGGTAAACTAATGTGCAAACAGGCTTTTAAGAAGTGATGAGCGTCTGCCAAAAATGTTACTTCTTGAATTTTTTTTCCTTTTTTTTTTTTTTTTTGCGAGGTGACTGAAAATGGTAATTGCAAGTAGTGTGGAAAAATGGTAGTACCATCCATCACCATCACAATAACCATGTTCACACGTATGCATTGTGGCTGATCTGACACGCATAGTTCAGGCTGTTTTGGTGTAAAAATGTACAGTTAAAGAGCTGTAATCAGCTTTATTTGTCACTCCATAAATCACAACATATTCATTCACAGGTAGTTTGTAGGATGCTACTTCTTAAAGACTGTTTTTTATCAGAACAAAGTTCACTTGATTTTACCACTGCTTGTTATTGTTATAGTTTCAGGTTATTTAATTGCCCATACTGAGACACCAGAATATTTACAGTGTTAATGTTCTTTTTCTTTCTGGGGCAGCAAAGCACATTACAGCACAGTGAGGTCATGAAGTACAATGCGTCCCTAGAGTGCCCATGATTGACTTTCTATATGTCTTCCTTAAACACGTCTGTTTCTGTGCAGCTGAAAGAAAAACAGACTGCACTGATTGAAACTGCACTGACACAGCCCGGAGTAAAATGATCCATTTGTGGACAGAAAACTTTAATCTATGGCTCAGTGTTAATAAATCCAATATGTGCATCTGCAGTCCCCACACTGGAGCAGGATAGTAATTATATCTATAAATTTTAGTTCCTGACATGAGTTGTAAGAGTTTTAAGGTTTTATGTAATGATGTTTAATGTCTTCTCTGCGCACACACACACACACACACACACACACACACACACACACACACACACACACACACACACACACACACACACACTCATAATGTCATTGATTGATTTTTTGTTCCCTATTATTTGTTACAGTCATACATTTGACCCAAACCTGCTTCATCACACACACACACACACAAACAAGAAAAAAAACAGTCATATCTGCCTTTACTATTCACCTGCTTCTCTATCAAAATAGGAATATTTCAAAACACACACACACACACACACACACATACACACAGTCAATATCTGAAACCCTCATGTGCAAGAAAGTGCAAATCTTTATCACTCTAAAAACAACTACTTCCAAATGAGCTGCAGCTCCAGAAAAAAATGGGAATTTTCTGTTTGCAAACAGCCAAAATCGGAGAAACACTTATCTCATTTTGGCTCGACTGGAATATAGCAGACACTAAATTTGGTGTGACGAGAAACCAGCTTTGTGTGGATGGAACTTGAAAGCAGGGGACCAGGATTCATATACTACAGACGCCTTGAACAGCCATGGCTGTCGTCTTTTTATTTCCCCAGTTCATAATTTCATTATCTTGATATGTCGTTATCTCAGGATAAAACCAACTAACAAAAGACATAAGGGAAAAGAATCAGCTGATAATGTTGAAAGGTTTGGTTTGCTTCTATACATTTATGGTTAAATGTGCTTTTTGCTGTTTGCTAATACTTATAATTCTGATGTTGGCTATAGATGTGGTTGATTTTACCTTGAGAGAGGGGGGTGCTTTTATTTTATTACCTTTAACCGGGAGTTTATACAGCATTCTTTGTGTACTGATGTGGTTACTATCCACAATGTGAAAATTCTCCTTGGCATCAACACTCACTGCATAAATGAACAGGGTAGGGAAGGTAGAAGCTTTAAAGTATGTATGCAACGGATGGGACGGATCACTTGAGATCTGAAATCTCTCTCTTTCCCTTTCTCAGGGAGGTTCAGCCTCTAATCTGAACATGAACCTGTACGCCACCAAGAAGACGGCAGCTGAGGGCATGTTGGACATCGCTCTGTTCCTGGCTAACATCACACACATGAAGACTGTCATTGAACAGGGAGCTGGATACAGGTACAGTGTGTGTGTGTGTGTGTGTGTGTGTGTTTGTGAGAGACAGAGGTCAGGAAAAAGACAAAACTGTTAAATTTACTTTGTAAAGAATATTTTTAATTGTTTGCAAAGCTCTAAGAGCAAAAGTACAAATAGCTTTTTTAAAAAGGAGAACATGAAAATGAATGAATATTCACTGAAACTGTTCTCTATGTAATTTTCAAATGATTTTGATGAGTTTTTCAGTGAGTTTAATTAGTTTTCAACTGCCATTTGGCTTTTGAATAATCGCATTTACTGCTGCCTCAAATGACATTTCCTGAATGTAATTTTTCTTCTTTATCCTCAGGTACTACGTCGCTGTTCTGACGCTCATTTCCTTCTCCCTGGCTCTTCAGATAGTGGCTGGAATCCTGATCATCATCATCGGTGAGCATTACGAAATTAGCCTCCTCTGCTTCAGAAATCCATCCTCCATGTTTTTAACCAATCATATTAATACACTAATTCACTGACAAGGTGATTTGTTGTGAAAATACCACCAGTCAAAAAAACAGTCACTTTAGGTATAAAATCTCCAAGTCACCAAATATGTTTCCTGTGCAACACAAAAACACAACTATAAAAAGATAATGCATTCATCTTCTGTGTAGTATCTCGTTATTGTTATTTTTGGTATGTGTGTGTACATGTGTGTTGCAGCCCGGCGAGACGTCAGCGAAGAGGTCAACCAGAAGCGTCTGGACAGCATGAACAACATCACAACCATCCTCGTCTTCCTCATCTTCGTTACCAACATCTTCATCTCTGTCTTTGGGATGGAGCGCACCGGCCTGTTTCCCAGGATGCATTTCTGACTCTCCGACGTAGGGAGTGATTTTAATATGTAAATCTTTTTGGAAAGTAGGGAAAGATTCTCACACACACGCACACACGAGCACTCACATACAAACAGCAGTGTGACTTATTGTTCTACTCACAGTACTAATCTGCTACAGTATTACTCTACTCTGATATCTTTGTTTGATTTTATTCAGTATGAATGGACTGGGCCAAGGACCAACTAGATGTGTGTGTGTGTGTCTCTGTATGTTTCTGTGTGTGTGCGTGTGTTCTTGTTGTCTCTGTGTGTAATGTGTAATGTATGTATGCATTATCCATGTGTTTGTGCGTGTGTGTGTGCTTGTGTGTGGTGTGTGCTTGTGTGTGGTGTGTGTAGCTCGTTTTGAGCTCACCCTCCTCCCTTCTTGTCAGCGATGTTTAAACTTCCTGAACAATCTGATTACTGGCATCATCTTCCTCACCCTCATCATCAACATCATCAAAGCCGCCTTTGGCACACAGCGCAGCTGCTTGCTGCGATGGATGTTTCAGCGTTTCATTTTATGAGACACACTTAGCAGACAAATTCACACACTGTATGTGCATTTATAAACATAAACTCAGCATAAATGTGCATGATTGATACCCAGTAAAGTCTGTATAATAAATATGAAGCTGGAATAGCTTAGCTTAGCACAAAGACCAGAAATAGGGAGAAGCTATTAGCCTGCTCTGTCTATGGGTAACAAAATCTGCCTGCCAACAGCTCACTAATTTACAGAGATGAAGGTGAGTGTGCAGTTTTTGTGCTAAGTTAAGCTAACTGGCTTCTGACTTCCTGTCTAACCCTCAACAACAAAGCAAATGAGCATATTATTCCTTTAAGAAACATTGGCCACTAGATATTAGCTGCATGAGAAGTTCACTTGTATTGAAGCACATGTGAAAACCTTCAACTTTTCTCTTTTTTCTTCAGCTATCACAGAGGCGTGACTTCACCATTGCACTGCCTGAAGCTAATTTGCATCTGTTATGGCATCCACTTATTTCCTTGCGTTGACTTTATATGTGCAGCATCTAAAACTTGTTCAGTCAGAAAACACCTTTAATAAGGGCGTTTGCTTTTTGGCATCTCCTTCGACAAGTATAAGTTACAAAACAGATGCCATGTTTACAAGAGCATTTTATTTAGTGTATCTAAAGTCTGTGAATCTAAAGTCAGCATTCTATTCTATTTGTTGAGGGAGGAGATTCAATTTTTCACGTTAAATTTATTTAATACAAATGAACCAGCAACTTTGTCACCATACATCCGGTCAGAATGTCACATAAATTACGCAGAGGCTGGAGGCCGTTTGTATGGGTGCATTGCTGTATGTTTGTTGGAATGGGATATATTGTGAGTGTTTAATGTGTGTTTGTGCATGTGAGTATGTATGTATCAACTATACGTGTGTGTGTGTGTGTGTGTGTGTGTGTGTGTGCGTGTGTGTGTGCGTGTGTGTGGGTTGGTGTGTTTGAAATATGTGTGTTTGTGTGTGTATGTGTATGTGTGTGTCGCAGCCCGCAGGGACCTGAACGTGGTGTCCAATCAGAAACGACTCGACTACCTGAACAACCTCGCCACAGGCGTCATCTTCGTCACCACGGTGATTAACTTCTTCATCAGCTTCTTCGGATCCAAGAGGACTGGCTTCTTCCGCTGGCTGCTGGCTCGACTCCACTTCTGACGCACACTTACTCAAAACCCATATTTACTCACATATCAAACACATTTACACACACACATGCAGACACACACCGACACACTCTTTCCACAAGTATTTCATCTGTGCACTTGTAGATTCAATGTTAAAAATTTGTTTGTGCACTTGTCATTTGAACAAAGCTGAGACACAAGTCACATATGTTCAAACATCACATCTTTTATTATTCAGGTGTTGTTTAAATGCTGATTTCAGGCTGTAATTCAACTAAAATATCTTCACTTTAACCCACTGAACATCTATTCTATATGTATTATCTTATTTGCTGCAATAATATGCTTGAATTTTCATTTCTAAAATTGTGCATGTGCTCCGCTCCATTGTGTATGTTTCAAACTTGTGTTTCTACTTTGTTGGGTGGTCGGTAATGGAAACATTGAGAAAACTTGATGTAAACATTAATGCCTCATATTATTTATTCTCAAAACTTGTTTCACAAAGAATGATTTTTAAGATTCAATCTCAGACACAAACCAGGGTAACAGAAATAAGAGACATACGTACACATTGTCCGTCAGAAAGCTGAATAAATGTAGTGATTTAACAGAAGCCTGTGCTTTGCTTATTGTGGTTTTTGTTGAGGATTGTTGGATTGGTGACTGTGACTGGTCAGCTGGAGTGAAAATAATGCAACATAACACTAGTATGGACAAGAAGCGGATCTAAATTCAGAAATTATATTGTGTGCTGTCATTGAATATAAGTTTAAAAGAGAGGAGTAAGTTGTCATGGGAATGTGGTGCATCCTAGTCAAAACAGAAATCTCTCTTAGTGTGTCAGCACCAAGTGTGGTTTGAACCCTTTCTTTCTCTACTATGTATTTGTGTGTGTGCGTGTGCGTGTATGTGTGTGTGTCACAGGACGCCGGGACCTGAATAACTCCGCTCTCCAGAAACGACTGGACTACCTGAACAACGTAACGACCATCATAGTCTTCATCACCACAGTACTCAACTTCTTCATCAGTACTTTCGGCATGCAGCGCACTGGACACTTTCCGTGGCTTATGATGCGTATTCACTGACCCACACACACACACACACACAGACACACACACACACAGACACACACACACAGACACACACACACAAACACACACACACATCAACCACACACACACACACACACACACACACACACACGCACACACTGCTGACAGTTGCATGTTTAGATTGAACTACAACACAGACACTTACAATAGCTCATAACATGTATAGAAACATGCAGATGACTTTGCCTTTATTTTGGGTCTTTTGATGTGTAACTTAACAATACTCACAGGTTTTTAACAGAGTTGTTGTATGTGTATTACATTTAAATTCTATTTTATGGAGAAAAAAAATTACTTCATAGCCTACTTAGCAAATGCTTTTCTTCACTGAGGACTGTTGGACTCTAACTCTGGCAGAGCAACACAAACCTCAATTCTCTCTAAATGTTTGTCAAAGCACTGAAATAAAAATGTGTTAAAATGATTTTTTTTTCTCATTGTTTTACACAGGCTATTTAAAGAACACATACAGTGCTTTAATTTGACTGAGACAGACAACTTCTGCTATGCTATATGCCCTTCTTTTTTTTTAAAACATTTTTTTTAGCTAATAGGGCCATCTAGTGAAGGAGGTCAGGATAACAGACACTTCCCTCAGCCTTACCTAATAACTGCTCACACCAGTAAACAGAATTCAACAAATAAAATGCAAAAAAACGAAAAGCATGAATTTTTGTCATAATTCTGAATATTCTTTACCTGTCAAGTCATATGAAGAATGTCTCTTTTTTGCTTGCCACATCACAGTCGCAGGGTCAAAGGTCAAACTCATTTATCATTTTAGATTATTTTAACACAGCACTGATGACTCCATGTTGGCTAATATGACGGAAAATAAAGAAAAACTACAGAAATGTATGTATCAGACAATAAAACATTGTAAACTATTTCAGACTGAACGCCACAGTGACTCGGTATCGAAAAGTGATGAGGATAACTGGTTAGCATGCTAACTTCAGTAGAAAGAAAGAAGTGATAGAAACAGAAGCAAAACAAATGGGTTGCTTTCCACTGCTGGAGACAGCTCTTAGCGGGTAAAGAATTGAAGTTTGATGCTGAACTGGCAACATTTTCTTCTACTGGTATGTCAACAACTGTTAATGCTAATGTTGGCTATGTAGCAATAGCAAAGCTTGTAGCTTTAATAGCTTTAAGTTAGGACATTGTTGAGGTTTTCTAGACTACAAGAAGCATTATTGCTGTTTCATTTCTGAATTAGGCATACAGTTTTGTTGTTTTTCAAACATATGTTTTTAAGGTGTCTTTTTCATTTGCAATACCTCATGTAGAAATGACGCTTGGAGTTACCAGATGGTTTGTTGTACTTTTTTGTGATAAACAGAATTTCTAAAGCATTTCAGAGATTAATACCAAAAAAACAAACTGTAAAATTAAATTAAATAGAAAGACCCAACAGTAAAGAAACTGATTGAGAAATTTGATTGTACATATCTGAAAAATATGTAGTCCACATATTGTTTACAAACAACTTCTTCTGTTGTTAAAATGAAAATGAATGATCCATGAAGGAAAAGATTCACAATGGCTGTCTGAGGGGAGGGAGCAAGGCTGCCGAAGTCAGTTGTTGTAAGTTTTTCCAGGAAGAGGAGGAGTGGGTGAAATGAGGGATCATGTGTCGTTCCGGAGAAATGAAACTCTAAAGGGAAACTTTTTCACAGACATCACTGCAGGTAAAGTTCAACTACTTTTTGATCTTCCTTAATTAAGATAGCCTATTTCTTGTGCCTGCAGGGTATACTCAGTTCAAATTAGTTTGTGATTTTATGAGAAATAGTCCGATGATTAGGTCACCATAGTTGACTTTCACATACCCAGTCTTAAACTATCTTCAGGCTGTGTTTTACAGTGTCAAGTAGGCCTAGTAATGATACATGTCCTGTATTAATCACAGATTTAAGGTTGAGTTATTACAAGCTTTGTTTGGAACATTTCTATTATAAGCATATAAGATGTTTGCTGTTGAACTCAAATGTTTTCTTCATGTTTCAGAGGGGGAAATAATCAGTGGCACATCGCCAGCGTACGTTACAAAAATGTGTTTGTTTGACTATAGCCATATGTCTGTTTATATTCTTAGAACTTCTTTTCATCTCTCGTCATCATACTAATAAAAGATCATAAGATCCTGGCATTGATCATCACAGTGGCATTCTGCGTCGTCATGAACTGCTAATCAAGTCTAACAGCCATTTCAGTTGATTATTTTTCACAGGAAATTCTCTGTATCACTATTTCCATCTGTGACTGGTGAGCCTGGGCAGATTAACTCTTTACCCCTTGTGGGTCAAAATGCCATTTGAGGACACAACTCTTAGATAATGATACATTGCCTTAACTGCGGATGTTTGTTGGTGAACACAAAAATGATTTTTTAATTTGACTGTGCATATTTTTGCATTGCAAGGAGAAATACAGATAACTCACAGGTAGTTTAAGATGGGCACTCTGGTGGGCTAGGTGTTAAGGCCATGGACCTTTGTTGCATGACAGACCTAAATCTAACGTTAAACGTTTTGTCAACTTTTACCAAAATTACTGCAAACAGCACACTGTATGTACAGGTCCTCTGGCATAAAGTGTTGGCATATTTTATCTAACCCACAGTTTATCTACAGCTGAATTTGATGGAAGTCTTAATCAAAACCAATATTTTCCAAAGTGTCACACCTCTGCACAATTACATGTTGCCTTCATGCTCTGACTCTGACCACTTGGGGTTGAAATTGAAAATCATAATCATCAAATCATCTCCTCTTATCTAGACATGGCCTCAGCCAGCAGCCTCCCATGTGAAGAACAGTCTTTGTGTTCTATCTGTCTGGATGGGTTCACTCAGCCTGTCACTACTCCATGTGGACACAACTACTGCAAGGCTTGTCTCACAGGGTACTGGGACAGCAGTGACCTGATACAGTGCCCCCTCTGTAAGAAGAAGTTCCATAGTAGACCACAGCTTCAGGTCAACACAGAGTTCAGAGATATGGTGGAGCGTTTCAACAACATGAGGGTGAGGAGTGAAGATCAAATACTTGCAAAACCAGGGGAGGTTCCCTGTGACATCTGCCTTGAGCTGAAGCTCAAAGCCCAGAAGACGTGTGTGGTGTGTTTGGCCTCATACTGCCAGTCTCACCTGGAGCCTCATCACAGAGTCACAACCCTGAAGAAGCACAAGCTGATTGACCCTGTGTCAGACCTGGAGGACAGGGTGTGTAAGAGGCATGGCAAGATGTTCGAGCTCTTCTGTCACACAGACCAGATGTGTGTTTGTTTCATGTGCTTGAAAGACAACCATGTGATGCATGAAGCCGTCCCGTTAGAGAATGTGTTTCGAGAGAGGAAAGCCCAGCTGGAGGATGTGACGTCCGAAATGAAAATGATGGAAGACACAAACACCAGGAGTATTGAGGAAATCAAATCCTCTGTTGAACAGAGGAAGAAAGACTCTGATAAAGAGATAGCAGATATTGATGAGGTTTTTGCTGCTCTGGTGGCCTCTCTGCAAAGAAGTCAGTTCAAGCTGATTGGGTTGATCCAGGAGAAGCAGAGAGCAGCAGAGAAGCAGGCTGAAGACCATGTGACACAACTGGAGCAAGAGGTCGATGAGTTGCGGAGGAGAAGATCCAAAATGGAGAAACTCTTACAAACAGAGGATGACATCCACTTCCTGCAGAGCTGGCCATCCCTTTATATCCCTGAACTACACAAGGACCTGTTCCACCCCCTGTCCCACTTCACACCTCCATTTACACACAATCTCTCTGACAGCAGTCAACAGAGTTATGTGGGAATGGTTAAAAAAACTGTGGCTCAGATGGAAAAGACACTCAGTAATGAGATGGAGATGTTAATTCATGAGGTTAGGTTGTCTGATGGTTGTGAGAGAGCTGAACAGCCTGATGCAGCAGCAAATCCGATAACAGATGAGTTTATTACAGAAGTGTGGAATCCACCGCAGGACGAGCTGATGATGATCCAGCAGTGTAATGCAGTGGATGTGACTCTGGACACCTACGCAGCCAATTCTGAACTCTTGGTGTCTGAGAATGGGAAGGAAGTGAGATTACGGCAAAGCCAACTAAGGACGTTTTTTAAAGGTTTATTTGGGGAAGGATATCAAGATATTCCTCTAGTCTTTGGGAAAGATGGTTATTCCTCAGGAAGGTTCTACTATGAGGTTCGGGTCAGTGGGAGCACAGGTTGGATGTTAAAAGTGGTCAAAGAGTCCTTAAAATATAAGATGACCCACGACACTGACAAGGGGGCTTGGAGACTTTGTGGATTCTGTTACCAGGATGACTCTTTTGTTCATAATGTTAACTCTGGTCCCCTGTTCCTGACGCAAAGACCCCAGACAATTGGTGTATTTGTTGATTATGAGAAGGGAGAGGTCTCCTTCTATGACGTGGACGCCAGGTCTCTGATTTACTCTTACACAGGATGTGCCTTCACTGAGACCATA